CTCCGAAAACTATACAGTCTAGTGTTAGATAATGATGGATGGGTATATATATCCCCTCGGGCTCTGGTTGACAAGTTTGTAGTGAATTGCTGGCTAAAGAGGTGCTGTCCCCTAGCGCTAGACTGGGACCAAAACCACAATTATTGCGTGAGCCTGTGCTGGCAGACAAAGATTGTGCATAGTATCTGCCGAAAATGGAAGCACTTAAAGGGCTATCACCTGTGGAAAATCTGCAGCTGGAAATAAAACGGCAGAAACAGAGTAGGGAGCATGATTACATGTTGCCCTTTAAGGATATGAGGCATGAGATGGGTAGTGGCAACTCATGCCAATGGTTCTATTTAGATAGCAGTTAAGGTAGTTGTACCTAGGCAACCGTTTCGTCCCAGCTGCTTCGTAAATTAGTTTCAAGGTAGAAACTCACTGTAGAAATCTGTATCTGACGGCGTTGGGCGTTCCCAGGTATGGGCAGAGTAAGATTTTAGGATGTAAATACACCATCCCGACACCTGATGCTGTGAGAGAAGCGTCACCGGCCTACCGGATGTCCTTGTCCTGGGGTGACATCCACTGGTAGTCAATGGAGTGAGTGCGGGCTGGGGCTGTCCTGGCAAAGGGAAATCTCCAACGTTCCGCTACCCAGCCCGATAACTCAGGCTTGGGGAGTGAGGGTGTGTGTGCTTTGGGGAGGGCATAAAGAGCTAATGTACTAGCTTGACAGCCCGCTGATGCAATTTCCTAATGAACATTTTCAGTACCGGAACCATCCGTAGTTGCTGCAATTTAAAGGTGCAGGCTGCTTTGGGCAAGAAACCTTGAGAGGATATTAGATTGTAGAGCAGCAAAAGTGATCTACAGACAGAAGCCTAGGGGTTAACGGCTCATCCGTCGACCAAGACTGATATGGATTGAGTTGTAAAGGACTAAAATCACCTGGAAGTGTAAAGTCATGGATCAGCTTAAAAGGGAGGATGTTGTAGAGCAGACCAGGCCCCTATGATGGGCTGTAGCACCTATGATGATGATGTCTGAATGGAAGGATGTGGTGAAACAGGCCAGGGCCCTACTAATGATCAGCATTAACAAATTGATCTGTTTATCTATCTCTATTTCTCCCATTTAGCGGCATACTTATTATTATAATTATTTAATTTGAATTTTTGGATGATGTTTAAGAATGATCAACACATAATTAAGTCTAGACATGGCTATAAATCAAAAATCAGCATGTACTGTAGATCCCTATTCAAAGGCCTATTTACACAAAAAATATTTCAATGGTATAAGTGGGCCTTTGAGTCGGTCACAGGAGGTTTTCACCAGGTACATTGATTCTATTATAGAAAACAATAAGATTGTGTCTGTGTGTGAGCATATGACTGATTCTGTTCAGTGTGGTTACGGTATATATATGTAGAAAAGTGAAGTGAGTCGCTGTTATAGATAATACTGAATGTTTAATAGTTTTAAGTCTTTTTAATAAGCAATTATTTTTAAGGTTTCGATGAAAACCTTTAAAATAATTTCCCAGCCAAAACTGAAAGAGTACACTAATAAGCAGATTACACACTTTTCAGGGTTTTCCTGGCCAAAACTAAGATTGTGGTTGGCTTATGATCCATTGGGAATAAATTTCCAAGATCCCAATAATGGCAAGTTACCTCAAGATTATTACCCAGTGTGATAAATCAAGCATCAAGTTAAAATGTGAAAAAATAAAACCAAAAATATGTTTTTTTTAAATCAGTGGCATAGGTAATGAAAAATAAATAGAATAAAAAGGACTGGATTTACCTGAAGTAAATTGTTGACCAGTCATTGTCCTGGCATGTCATGATTCATCCTGCACATTCATCATAAGTTAATAAGAGCAGCTGTGAATTCTGGCAGTGATGGGGGTCTTCAAGTGATCTCTGTGAAAACAACAACTTCAACCTGGAAGTAAAATAATACATTAATTAGTAGAAGACAGAAACTTTATTATATTAGAGCGCAAGCTTGCATTAATATGAAGACAATATCCTATGAACAATTTTAACCTGAAAGTTACCATTATAAAAAGTACCAGAAAATTAATCACACACTTGGTGTAATCATTGCTTTTACACCAGCCATGTTTGCATGGTTGTTTCGACAAAAAATTCCTGGTTCTCTAAGGGAAAGTTGAATAGCTTTGTTTATTTAATCTATTAAATAGTTAAAGTCCAAACACTATTGGAATTAGGGAGGTGGTGTTAAATGAACAAAAGAAAACCTTCAAAATGGTCACGTCAAGCTCAGTGCAAGATTTTAACTACAACTGCATTACAGTAGTGAATCTTTAAAAATTTAAATAAGAATTTTTTGTCACAGATCAATGGTAATATAATTCTAACCTGCAAGATGTAACTCTTGATTATTACTACTATGATTTTAACCAAAAAAATATATGCTATAGCGACTGATGAATCTAAATATAAGAAGCAATCCATCTAAATAGCTCTTTTGAATTTTTTAATCATTTCTTTTACAGCAAAAATGCACTCAATATGTGATGTCAGAAGGAAATTTAGATTTTTTAGGAATTTTTATCTAATTTTAACTAAATTAGGAATGTGCAAGACTTTACCCTAACCTAATCAGTGAAACTAGCCATTCCAATACAGTCTTTTGATATTTTTTACATGCACTTGCGGGATTTATCTTTATATAAAGTGCATTCAAAGGATCAAGATACTAATATTTATTGTTGGAAGGGGGATTAGGATGATTGCTAGGTGTTAAGAGAAAATGTAAAGATAAGTGTTTATTATGGCATGTAATTGACTAGGACAGAGGCTCCCAGACTGTGTCCTGCTGCAACCTGAAGTGTTAAAAAATTAATGGACTTAATGCAAGCCATTTATAATTAAGTTGATATTTTTCACTAGTTCTCCATTCTACTACTGTTTGGATAATAATGTTACGACGATCACGGATATATATGGTTTGTTATGGTTTTCTTCATTAAATAACTTCAATTTACTGCTCTTTTTTAACATCTCTCTCTCTGCCCAATTTTTATTTTAGTCACTTTTATATTTTCTCAATTAACAGCGTTATCCCAAAATAATTCACGAAAAAACTCATAACTTTCTTAACTTTAGAATTGACCTACAAACATAAATTTAGTATCAATGAATTGCATTTTTCAGGCCCTATCTAACCAACTTGCTCTTAAAGATATAAATTCATTTTGAAAATTTTACCCAAGTACCAACTACTTGGTACTCTGTTCTTATTAAAGTTAAAGTAGCAGTTGGTTTTGTGCAGCGTCTATGCTGTATCAATTAAATATTGTTTTGATAGAGTCAAGTGAAGTTAATGAGGTATGTCTTCTTGTATAAGTATAAGGTTTCAAAAATTGATTAGATTGTTTAAAAAGTGCTATTTTACAGTGCACAAAGACGTGGGTGCTGGATTTTTTCTTGGTCGACGCTCAAGTGGTAGATTACCTATAGCCTATAGAACTATATTTAAAATAGAATTAAAAAATACAATAAAATTATAAACATAAACGTATTCTTACTTGCTTTAAGCTTTGTTCTTCGTGTTTCTTCAACGCTACCGGTTCATGAAGGTATTCAAAATATGGCACATTTTCGTTTCTCGATCGTCGATTGATAGTAATGGCATGGCTCTAAGTAAAATGGCAAAAACCAACAGGAAGTATCCGTCATAACTGTCACGTGACCAACCGGGTCCGAATACTTCCTGTTGGATTGCTGCGGGTACCTATAGCCACTCCGTTGATTGTTTATGGCGCAACGTCTTTGAACAAAACTTGGCTAGGCTCTGATACAAGAAATATTGCTCCTTTCTAATTTTTCAAGACGCCATATCGTTCCCTTCCCCTAAAGGGGACATCTACCATTTTTCCTACCAGAATGAGAATGTTTTGTTGTTTTGTCTTTTGTGTTTGTTTGTTTGTTTTTTGATTTTTTTTTTTTCTAAAAGAAAGTCAATAAATGAAAAAATTGCTTTTCAGTGAATTGAGTTAAATTTTAGAAGAAAAATAAAAGCATTAACTTTGTTCTTTTAATTAAAAATGTACAAACTACCTGAGTTTAACATAGCTTAGAATTTCACAACAAATATGTAACAACTGAATTGTATGAAACAGGGAAGTTATTTGGGTAGGGCAGGCTGGGACATTTGCCTCCGCCCTTCCCCCTACCCAACCCCCGAATTTGCAGATTTTATTGAAATTGCTATGTAGTGTGGCGTCTCCAGTAATAAATAACACGCCGACCACGTTTTGGTTTTGCCCCCCCCCTCCCCCACCATGAAAGAAAGTCACTGGTTTTAAACGAAGACAAAATGAAAATAGGTTAATTTAGATAGTTGTTGTTTAAGATGCAGCCTTTACAAATTTTAAAGACGAGCAGTGGCCCGTTTGCAGTCGTCTTTTCCCATTCGCCTTTACACCATGTATTTTAGGATTCTTTAACCTTTGCGTCACTCTGTGCCGAATTGTAGGGCTTGGTTGGTGGCAATACAGTTGTAGAGTTAGCTTACAAATCCAAGGAAATCAGGTCCCCGGAATGATAGCATTACTAGATCTAAGCGTTTGGGAAAAGCAAAAAGAGAAAGCAAGAGAAGCGAAGAAAAGGGGACAACATCTGAAAAGACACTTACATCGAAGTGGCTATTCGCACCAGGGTACCAGAAGTGAGAGTTTGGGATTAAAAAAACTATTAAAAATATTTTTGTTTGGTTTGTAAGACAAAATGGGGTATCAAATGAAAGATACTTGAATGGACAAATATGTTTGTAAACTTACTTCTTCTGTTTAACTAAAATAAACTACCAAAAATGATATCAGAATAGCATTTAGTCAAAATGGCCCCGGGAACGCAGTGCCGCCATTCGCACCCGGGTCCCATTAGACCAATGCTGTTCGAGACAAAGCAGTAAAAAAATATTATCCAAAATACCAGAGACATGAGGATTTATGGAGAAAACAAAACAAAAAACACAGATTTAGAAAAAAAAATGATATGTTGAACTTCGACAGAACTGGCGTTTTGATATGATTTTTTATGTCAACAATAAATATTTTTAAAATGTTGAATACGACAAATTGCGTGGTACAGAAACGTCCTTGACCTCTAGCCAACGATCACGCCTTCCTCTATTGTGATGGGATCAAGCTTGCATATGTCAAATCTGAAGATTCGGTCTCTGGAATCAAAATAAAACCAACATATGGTACCTTTATTAATATAAACATGTTTGAATTTAACTGGGCTATAAATCAATAAATTATCAAAAATCCTGAGTCGCCACATTCATCCCGTCCTAACGAAAATGTCACGTTTCCCCCTGTTGAATGTTAATTGTGGACTGGATGAGCATGAGACATGATCTTGATTGTCAGATGTTGAATTAGTTCACACTATCTGACTTCTGGGGGAGTTATCATCCTCTTGAAGATTTTTGGGTAAACAATTATCATTTTCTTGCCATTCTTTGGGACCCCAATTACATCATCTGCTTGCCATCCTTGGGAAATCAATTATATCATCTTCTTGCCATCTTTGGGACATCAATCACATCATATTCTTGCCATCTTTGGGACATCAATCACATCATATTCTTGCCATCTTTGGGACATCAATCACATCATATTCTTGCCATCTTTGCGACATCAATTATATCGTCTTCTTGTCATCTTTTGGACACCAATTACATCATACTCTTGCCATCTTTGGGACATCAAATACATCATCTTCTTGACATCTTTAGGACACCAATTACATCATATTCTTGTCATCTATGGGACATCAATTACATCATATTCTTGCCATCGTTTGGACACCATTTACATACTCTTCTTGCCATCTTTTGGACACCAATTACATCATATTCTTGTCATCTTTGGGGCATCAATTTTATCATCTTCTTGCCATCTTTGGGACATCAATTTTATCATCTTCTTGCCATCTTTGGGACACCAAATATATCATCTTCTTGCCATCTTTTGGACACTAATTACATCATATTCTTGTCATCTTTAGGACATCAATTATATCATCTTCTTGCCATCTTTGGGACACCGATTAATCATCTTCTTGCCATCTTTGGGACACCAATTATATCATCTTCTAGCCATTTTGGGACACCAAATATATCATCTCCTTGTCATTATTTTGGACACCAATTAATCTTAATTGTTATTTCTACAATGTGAAATCTTTTTACTGTTCGATGGCGAAGGCTCAGTGTCGCCACGTTTGCTGATTTGTATTGAATTTTAATGGCTTGCTTCCAAAATGTAATTTATACTTCCTTTTCCTTCAACTTGAATACAGCATTCCCCATGTAAATCTTGGACACCACAACTTGAATACAGCACTCCCCATGTAAATCTTGGACACCACAACTTGAATACAGCATTCCCCATGTAAATCTTGGACACCACAACTTGAATACAGCATTCCCCATGTAAATCTTGGACACCACAACTTGAATACAGCATTACCCATGTAAATCTTGGACACCACAACTTGAATACAGCACTCCCCGTGTAAATCTTGGACACCACAACTTGAATACAGCACTCCCCATCTAAATCTTGGACACCACAACTTGAATACAGCATTCCCCATGTAAATCTTGGATACCACCAGTATACTCTCTAACCGTGGCTGTATCCGTCCTACCACGCCATTTCCGGGGGCGGCCACTGATTCATCTCTAACATGACCATGAACTGAGAGTCTAATATTTTAGGCTTTCAGGACAACATTGAATCAACTTACTCGTGTCTGTTGTCGTGGACGCTGTCGACTCCCCTGAGCACATAATCATCAGGCACCCTGTATGTGAGCATGTTGTCGTATGTGTTGACGTACTGGGTGTACACGCAGCCGTGCGTGACGAAACCTGCGGAGGCAAACAGGGGGGTTGTAAACATAACCAACATTCAAACGTTCGTTTAAGGATTGGCAATATGTTTCTACATTATCGAAATGGCAAAAATCATCTTCTTATTAGTGTTATCACGCGACAAGGGCAAGGTCACAGAGCTACCTTCTGGATTACAGCACTGAAACGACCATTTCCTGTCCTCGTATCTGTTGTCATGGATACTCTCAATACCGGTGATGACGCTCTCATTCGGGCACTGGAACTCTAGAAGCTCATCAAAATTGTTCTGGTAACCTATGTGGTTGGAGAGTAGTGAACGGTGAAAAGTTACGCTAAGGGTTAGCAAGTCTTTGGTCTTCTATTTTAACTCCTTTTATTTTACTTCACGAGACAACACTGTCTGGTTTTTTTTTTTTTTAATTGTCAATTTCAATTAATTTTCAAATTTCTCAGGAGATTTAACTTGAGCTGTCTAGGTCTAGGTCATATCGTTCAGAAAATTAATATTTCGTTGTTTTTTTCTCTATTCATCAGTCACGCAAAATATTCAATATTATTAGAAACTAGTAACAACCCGTCAAAATGACCAGGGCAGGACGGAATCAAGTTAAAACAAATCTGTGCTTTATAAATAAGTCGTAAGTAGGAGGGAAACAACAATTGACATGAATGTTTCTCTTGACATACTTACCTCCTCTAGTGGGTAACGAATCTGCTCTTCGTGCTATGTTAATTATGTGATGTATAACACACAATAAAATATCGCTTGTTTTGATTTTTAAATAGTTCATGTCTGCTAATGAAATTCGCCAAATAACTATTCAAAAATGCCAAATCTCTAATCATAACGTAAAATCTCTAATCAAAATGCCAAATCTCTAATCGAAACACCCAAATCGCTAATCAAAATGCCAACTCTCTAATCGAAACTCCCAAATCGCTAATCAAAATGCCAAATCTCTAATCATAACGTAAAATCTCTAATCAAAATGCCAAATCTCTAATCAAAATGCCAAATCTCTAATCGAAACTCCCAAATCGCTAATCAAAATGCCAAATCTCTAATCGAAACGCCCAAATCGCTAATCAAAATGCCAAATCTCAGATCAAAATGACAATCTCTAATCAAAATGCCATAATCAAAATGCCAAATCTCTTATCACAACCGCCAAAGAAAGATATCATCGAAAGAAACTCAACTCTACAAACTAAATAAATGCCTTACGACTTTTAAAATGACATGTACTCAAAATTTGAACGCTGTTCCGAAAGGTGTCTCCCTTAGCATCAGTTCCAAAAAGTACGACTTGATTTTGATTTATCTTATTATGTCCCTTTACAAGTCATACCTCATGAGCCATAGCGACTAAACAAATTTATGAAGGTTTTAAAGGCAACAATCACATTGAGTTTTTTTAAAATTAATTTTAAGTATATTTTTAGCCGCATAACCATTTTCGATTGACATCAAAATTGTATTTTTGTTTTTAAAGATCCTCTTGTAGAGACATAATATTAATAATCTGTGTTGATTTAGTTGTCTGTGTTGAAATACCATATTACTAAAAATGGTTAAATTTATTAATCTTTTCGTAAAGTGTTTAATCGGATGTCACAATAGTTACATAAAGTTAAAAGTTTTTTGAGAGTTTGAAAATAAGGGAAAAAATATAAGAATGACTTCTCTCGAGTATTTATTTTAACATTGTTTACGTGGAAGGGCAACAAAAAAAAAGGGGGGGGGGGAATTATTGAAAAAAAAGGTGAACATTTAGCAATAGTTTAGTTCAGGTAACTTGTTTGAAAATAAGGGAAAAAATATAAGAATGACTTCTCTCGAGTATTTATTTTAACATTGTTTACGTGGAAGGGCAACAAAAAAAAAGGGGGGGGGGAATTATTGAATAAAAATGTGAACATTTAGCAATAGTTTAGTTCAGGTAACTGATAAGCATAGGACTTAGGCTTGTAAGACGTAAGCTTATGGCTTGATGGTAAGTTACCTCTGCTCGTCGCAAATCTATGATTTGAATGAGTTACACCAACTTACCACTCCACTCGCATTCACTGAGTGACACCCCGTGGGGCGGGACGGAGCAGCTAAAGTTCCACACCCTGTCTTCGTGGTGGTTGTCGTGGACGCTGTCCAGGTGTTTCAGCGACTGGCCAGCCGGACACGCGAACTGAAAGTGGGCGTCGAAAGCCGTCATCCATGACTGGCCCCGCGAGGAAACGGCCAGGTAACAGAGGACCGCGTGATGCAAGAACCAACCCCAGGCCAACATGATGTGTCGTCAACAGCTTGGGCTTAACTGAGTTCGTTCAAGACAGGAATGGACGGGCAGTGAGTGATGGGGCTAGAAGTTCTAGATTTATCTCGTAATTGTTTTCATTTTTTTTTTTTTAGAACTAAACCATGTGCAGAAGCGGGGGTGGGGGGGGGGGGGGGGGGGGGGGGGGGGGGGGGGGGGGGGGAAGACCATATTTTAAAAGATGTTTTATTTTTACAAACAAAATAAGATGACCTATGTGACAAACAGCCATACCATAAAAGGTCCTATGTCACAAACAGCCATACTATAAGAGGATCTATTTTAGAGAACGAGCAAATTTTAAGGGGATCCATTATTAAGAAGAAGAAAAAATCTTTAATAAAAACATATTTTCCAAAATCCAGAAAAGTTTTAGAGCCTCTGTTGGAATAAGATATTCGAATTTCTGAACTAGGGGTTTGCAAGTGGCTTTAAGTGGGTCATATTTTCTAAGGTATTTCTTGCCACATATGTTAAAGCACTGATGGTTTTTTGATCATTTAGTTAAAGTAAGAACATTACCGCATAAATAAATGAAGGAATTCAACACAACATACGTTATATAAATAGGCCTATACCTTGGTTAATCTCCCAAAAATATCACGTACGTACACACAATATACAGAATATAATAAGCAATTGATTTAATTATTGTTATTAAGTACAATAAAAAAAAACATAAAGAATTGTGGCAACTTTGCAAAGTGCTGTGTCTTGATTAATTAAAGGAAGTAAGGGGGTTATTTTATTGAACAATCTTGTCTATTTAAGAGGAATGAACTTATTAAAAAATGTGTATGCTGTTCTTTTAAATTGATTAAATGCTGCATCAGGATTCCTTATGTTCCATGATCGGGTGTTAATTTCAATAAAATACAGTTTTAGACCAACACTTGTTCATCGGTTTGTTTCAAATTGAATGTTGGAGATTGGTTTTTCCGAACACCATTAAATATTTATGGTCAAATAAAAGAACATATAATTAATAAATCCGGCACCGAGCCATGGTGATAATTTGACACTTGTTCACCGGTCCGCCAAGCTTTAAAGCTTTGGGAACCGCTGGTCGACGAGACGCATTCGGTCAACGCATAACGTCGTTAAGAACTGCGCGTTGTCATTGAAATGCTCGAAGTACGTCATGTTTACAGCGACGGCGTTCAAACGCCGGGTTGACCAGTAAACCTTGAGGAAACGCTTATGGGACACGTTACATTAGGAGAAGGCCTGATATGTGGTCAAGCCGAAGTTTGTAGAGATAAGACGGTAGTAGGCAGGAGATAAGAGCAAGAATCTGTTTGGTTTGAAACTCGAGTTATATCCACTTGTTACAGGTAGAATATCTGGAAACAAAGAATCAACCTTTCATGTCACATCAGTATTAGGTATGGGCGATTACTTGACTTGAATTTGAGTACACCTGCCAGCACAGGGGTGGCTGTAAAATCATTATTTTACTGCATACCCCACCCCCCACCCCCGATCCCTGTTAACTGTTCCACTCAAACCTGAGCTCTCAACCCCCACCCCCAACCTTTACCCCTGAGGCTAGTAGTCACAATGGTGGTAGGTTAATGGACATGGGAAGGGCTGTGGGGGGGAGGGGGGAATATGGATTGGATCAGAGGAGAATATTGAAGGTGGGTGGTGGGGAGAAATGAATTTTAATTGAGGGGGGTGGGGGGTGGGGTGATTTAGGATGGCGTTGGCCACGGTTGGTTCATTTGCCGTTTTGGACAGAGGCGTCACCAGGGCTGGTGTCACACAGGGCTGCAAGGCCCCCAACAATCAGTGGCGCAGGAAAAGAGTGCAGAGGTGGCGGTTCGCCCCTGGCGGCCCTTTTTTCCCCGTGTATTGAGGGGCGGCCTTTTCGGTCACCTGCACAGGGGCTTTTTCGTGGAAGAGGGCGCCAAAAAGATTATCCCGCTCTGGGCAGCACAAACTCTAGCCATGCCACTTCCCTTAGAACTTTCTGTACCAGACAATAACAACAATCCTAGGCTAGAATACGGGGTAAGAGTCCTTAGAACTGGAAACACAATTGATCTATAGTTGTTTTTTTTAATTAATTTCATGTCAATGATAAATATCGTTATAATGGTGAATGAGCCAAGTCACGTGGTGCGGACACGCCTCGACCTCTAACCAAGGACAACGCCTGCCTCCACTTTGATTGGATCAAGCTTGCATATGTCAAACCTGAAGATTCGGTCTCTGAAAACAAAAAAAAAGCAAAACCCAAAATTCAAAAACAAATATAAGATAAATGTATAGAGATTTCTTAACTGAAATCAAAAATGACTTTTGAACTTTCAACTTTTAAACTTTCAACTTTTGAGCTGTCTAGTCTCTGAACCAGTAAAGGTAGAACAAAAAGCATTATTTTCTATTAAGTAATCAGGGAACATGGAATGACCACTGGTCGAGTCATGGAGTGTCATGTTTCTTATTTTGATTGCAGTCAAGGGTTGCCGACCATGCGTAAACTTACGGGCTGTCCGTAAATAATATGACCTTGAAATGAATTGTCCGTAAAAGTCCGAAAGATATTTAGTTTTTCGTTTAGAAAATGTATTCTCTAAGGGTTTTGTAGCGAAACAAAACGAAAATTGTCAGCCTTGATATTTTTTTAAGCTTGATTGCTCTTTAATTAATTTGATAATGAAAGGAGAAGTTAAACACTCATGAGCATGGCATGCAATAAAACAAACGGTACATACAGTTGGGAGAGTTTTCGGAATTTTGGCGGTATGACACTGACACAATGATATATCCGACAACTCTTTCGACGTAGAACCCATAAGGAGCACCGTGAAACACACTTAATAACACTGTCGGTCGTCTACTGCATCCTCTTATATCTATAGTCCTCTTGACTAAGTCTTGCCATTGGATCGAATAGGCAAGGACGAGAGAGTGGGACTGACGAATTAAGCAATTCTCCCTAGACTCTTATAACCTTGGCGAGCGTATCATATGCGAGCCTCATCAAGCAGACATCGCCAATAATTAGACTCTCAACATAGGTTTCCGGGTTTGAATCAGCGATCAATCGATGATCGATCCTTTCAGTGGCCCGGTTACAGTGGGCAGTTGGGATTCCTACGTTGAGTCGAATCGTAGCGGACAGTGGTCCGTTCGCATTTGCGTAATGAGGCATCGTTCGCTCCACAGAGGGGTCTCTCTCACGCGGTTGCGGAATGGTGAAGTAGAACATACGAGCCGTGTCACATGTCGCACAGCCGTTGGGCCTCTCTTCACTAAAACGATCTTTGCGCTAGGTTTTGACGTCCAGTTGAGTGTAACGGGTCCGGTCGGGTTTTGGCCGGGCTGCATCCTCTCACGTCAGGTTATCCGCCATCTCCTTCTGCGTCACCTCAATGTGACCAAGGGATCCATAAGAGGACGATCGCACATGGATGTCGGCTACCGTCTTCTAATGGCACATGACGTCGACCTTTGTTGACTACGCCGAACTCCTTCCCTTAGTTTCGAGAGCAAACATGGCGTCCTTAATGGTTTACTTGCAAATTGTGAGTTGCTGTGGAAATTAAATTTTTCTGCAGATTTGACAAAACTTGAACGCGTTGAATATCAGACGGCAAGGCGCCACAGATGTGGTCTCCAACATGTACACCACTATGAAGGCGGTTTAAAACAAGCTATCTCAAGGCCCATATGATTGGGTTGCCTCACTCCAATACCCACTCTGGGAAATTGCATGCAAGAAGCCACAGACCTAATCCCACCAGAGTTTGTTTCAGGGGTGTTTACTGACACCAGACGGCACTTACGTGGCCATTTTATTTCTCCTCGATGCGAGAAAATACTTTTCGTTAAGGATCAAATTGACCGTTGACCCTTCAAATATAAGAAGAAGAAGAAGAAGAAGAAATTTGTAAAATCTGGATTCATAACATCCTTATACAATGGGCAGTTGCGAAACATGTTGATGAAAGGGGTTAATGGCCTTGAGCCTCAACTCCACTGTTTCACTGTTTCACTGTTTCACTGTTTCACTGTTTCACTGTTTCACTGTTTCACTGTTTCACTGTTTCACTGTTTCACTGTTTCAGTTTGAGGTTTAACTCACGTGACAAAAAAAGATGGTGACGTTCAAGTGTTTTGAGTTTAATCAGATATCAACCTAGAGTCTTAATTATTAAACGTAATCTGAAAAACTTCAACGTCCTGATAACTGTTATATTTCTACAAGGGAAAAAACAACAACTGCGTCTTAAATGTTTAAAGTATTTGATTCTATCGAATACAACGGACGCCTAGTGTTTGGAATCATACAGTCGGCCCAAGGAGACCGACGAGATCTTTTAAACAGCCCTTTTCTCAAAGGTTTATAAAGAAATGAAGGACTGTGTTCAAGCTGTGTGAAGGAAATAGTAGAACAATTTAAGCTGTGTGGAAGATTGAATTGAAAGACAGGACAGTAAGAGACCGGACAGTAAGAGAAAAGACAATAAGAGAAGAACGTTTAGGCCAAGAGCCTTCATCGGCAGACAGGACAAATGAAAATACGACCAAAATAGAAACCAGTTAAAACGTAAGTGTTCGCCATTGTTATTTCCGGAAATTACTTCCAACAATAATAATCGCGAACTCTTTTAGTTTTTTTATTATTTTTTTAACATTTCTATTTATTTTTTTTTCATTTGTCTTGACTTCTGGGGAAGGCTCTTAACCGAAACGCTCTTCTCTTATTGTCCTATATCTTAGTGTCCTGTCTGTTATCGTTCTGTCACATATATGTCATGTCTCTTATTGGCATGTCTCTTATCGTCATGTCTTTCGATTCAAGCTTCCACATACCTTGTTCTTCCATTTTCTTCTTTAAAAAAAAAGTCAGCCGACTCCTGATTTCCAGTGTTTGCTCATCGGTCCAGCCCTGTCCTGAAAGAGAAAGGAGTTTGGTGTTTTGGCTTTCAGATGACGCTGGGGCTCGACTTACTGGTACTTGTTGTCTGTGACGCTGTCGACTCCCCTGAGCACATAATCATCAGGCACCCTGTATGAGAGCATATGGTCGTATGTGTTGATGTACGG